CAGCGGCGAGCCCTGCGGGGGAGGGAAAGGCCGCGAGTCGCGCCCGACGCTGCCCGCATCCCCCGGCTCCGCGATTCAAATCTCCCGCCCTGGCCGTGCCCGGCCCCGCGCCCCCATTGGCCTGCGCGCCTGCCACTCGCTCCCTCCCTGCCCGACGGGCGCCTTCACCGAGCTGGGGGTGGAGCACTCCCGCCACTCGTCCCCACTTACAGCGCTCTCATTAGCTAATCTCAATGCCAATCACACCGTACTCCCACCCCTTAACCTACCATTGGCGGGACAGCCACAATCGCAGTACAACCACCCCTGCCTCCCCGTGTCCCATTCGCTAGAATTTAAAATATCTCCACTCTGATTGGCTGTTTCCTGATCTAGCAATTTATAGTGTTCTATTGGGTCACTAGGCTTTCCGGGTCTCATTGGTTTTCCCTCCGTCAATCTTCAAGCGACTCCGCCCCACGTTACTCTTGGCCTTGCATTGGCTGGAGGTTTAGACAGTTCTGCTTGGATTGTCCCCGGTGGCTGTCCGTACACAAAGGGCAATTGTGATAGGGCGAGCAGGTCTCGCCTTAGAACGAAGGGGGTGGAGCGGTTAACGGTAGCGCCACCTCTCTGCTTTTGCTCCTGGGTGAAACTGGATTGGCTGCCTAGCCTCTGACAACACACGTTTGTGATTGGTCAGGGTGGGGCTGTGGGCGGTGCCGCAGGGAGCCGCTGTCATGGCGGAGCTGAGTGAGGCGTTGCTGTCGGTGCTGCCGACCATCCGCGTGCCCAAGGCCGGCGACCGGGTCCACAAGGAGGAATGCGCCTTCTCCTTCGATACACCGGTAAGCGCTCCCGGTAGCTGTTCCCCCTTCATCCCTGAGGCCGCCTGCTCCCCGGCCTGATCCCCAGTGCGCCCGGGCCCAAGGGACCGGCCCGCGTGTGGCATGCTGGGACATGGAGTCTTCTATGGGGTGGGCTCCGGTCGGCTCAGTGGAGAGTGCGACCAAGAGGACTGCAACTCCCGACAAGCTCCAGGCCCGGCCCCGCTCCTGGCAGGCGTGCTGGGGACTGTAGTTCTCTCCGTCCTGGTGCTGCCCGCGGGCTCTGGCCTCTGCGCCCCGGTAGCGGCTCCGCGGGCTTGTCCTGCTGTTGCTGACTCACCGCGGGGCGGCCCGGCTCCCTGCGCCCGTGGGCAGGGGCGCGCAGACTCGAGACGGGTCCCCCGTGCGAGGCATGCTGGGAAGTGTAGTGCGCTGACCCCTTCCCCTGCCCGGCCCCGCTGCAGCCCCTAGAGGCGCTTCAGTGCCTTGCCCCGCCGCCCTTTGGCGGCCTAACTCGCGGCGCACGCTGGAGGGCGTAGCCCGGCCTTCTCGCAGCGCTGTGCCCCGCAGGCCCGGATCCCTTCACAGGGCGCCGGGAGAGGGGGGTCCCGCATTCTTTCTGGGGCGACCACATGCTCGCTCCCCTTGCCCGCCTCCCTCGTGCTCCTCCCTGGGGTTCCAGGAAGCTGCCGCTCCGCCGGGCCGTTTTCGGGGAGAGCTCTGGAGTGGAGGGAGAGAGGCATTTCTTTCTTCTGAACGTCCAGGCTATTAAAGGGATTCAACCAGCTTTAAGCTTCCTAAATTAAAGGCCCTCGGAGCTTCCCTGGTTTTTCCTTGTCTAAGGGTGTCTGTATTGGGGGGGGACGGGACGCAAAGCTCTCCTGTCCCTAAAAACTGTCTGTTCCCTGTGCTGTGTCACTAAAAGGGCAGTGTTTTTTCCTTCCAGCCAGGTTCATCCAGTGGAGTCACAGCCTCCATTGGGAAGTTAATGCTGGTTAAAGTGCTTGATTGGCAGCTCCTAAAAATGGGAGGCCTCTATTCCCTGACTTGGGGGAGCCTAAATAGCCATGGAATGAGTTCCGCTCCCTGTTCACACCCTGATAAAGTGCTACACCCTTCCTGGGGAGGGGAGTTCAACATTTGTGGTCCAGTCAATCCTTAAACTCATTGTGAAGCTGCCAGCTATAAGGCTTATTTGTGCCAGCTCCAGGGCTTCAAAAACTACTTGACATCAGTGATCAAGAGTTGGCTCTGCTGATGTGGATGACAGATACCTGCATTGCCACTCCCTTTGCAGTTCATATAGATCAGTACAGTTGTGTGCTATGTTTTCTTGTATCAAATTGTAACAGTCAACTAAATTTCCTTCAGTTTAAACCTGTAATTTACAGCTAGTCTTTCACTTTTTCTCTTTTCTCATGCTCTTCCTGGATTTATTCCACTTTCTCTTAAAAAAAAAAAATTGAACTAGATCATTTTCAGGTTGTCTTCAGTGTCCCTTTTCCCTTGTTCTTTGCTGCAAGAATTAAAGCTACTGATCAGAGACAGAGATGGAAAGATTTTGTCCAAGGCAATACAATAAAAGACTAGCCCTCTTTCCCCATTTTCCTACATAAGTCTACATAAGGAATCCCATTTTTTGTTTCTCTTAGTTTGTTTGCTGGCTCCTGAGAAGCAGATTGTGTGTTCTCTGCCATTGTCACTCTTTCATGGTCTCCCTCACATTCTCTCCCACCTCTGTTAAATAGCATCAGTACTATAGGTGCTAGAAGGCTGCCCAGACTGACCATGTCTGTTTTACAGATGCCCGCAAGGGTCTGAAACAACTGTAAAACCAAACAAGATTCTTCTTAACTTTCAATCTTTGACACTTTGGCAAAGCTTCAAGCTGCACCAATAGCACTAGATCCATTTGTCTGCTGATATAGTTGTATACGTTTTGATGGGGTCATACTTTGCAATTGTGACTGCTAGGGATGTTAGTGTATAGTTGAGTAAATGATTAACCAATAAATTAGACTTATCGGTTAATCCTATCGACTACGTGCACTTCCCCTCCCCCCGCTGCCTCTGTATCAGAGGAAGCAAGAGCAGGCAGCAGAAGCAGTGCCCGTGAGGAGCAGTCATTAAGCAGGCTCCCCATGAGCATCAGATCTGCTGCCCCGCTATCAGAGGCAGCAGCGTAGGGGAGATTGGGGGAGTTCCTCCATATCCCATGGTGCAGCCTCGGTCTGCAGCGATCCTGGGCCCACTGTGGGCAGAGGCTACTCCACCTATCATGGTGCAACCTCTGTCCATGGGGAGTTTGGACCCCCCTGGACATGCAACCTCTGTCCATGGGGAGCTTGGACCCCCCCTGGACAGGGGGGCTGCTGTCACTCCTGTATCAGAGGCAATGGCAGGGGGCTCCCCGGGAGTGAGGCTGGAAACACACTAGTTGTGATCCTCGCCCCTGTCAGTATCAAATAGTCATGTAACCAATACTTTTTTATGCAGTTACATGACTAATCAACTACATGACATCTAACATCCTTAGTAACTACTTAAAGGCTTTTTAAAATGAGGCTACAATGCCTCAGAAATGTATTGGTCTGGCCTGATTCAGCTCCCTTCCCACTATAGATAAATGGGCAAGTGGATTTTCAAATAATTCATAGTGGTAAGAGAAGTCGTGCTGGCAACTAGAGTGAGGCTTGACCACTCCTTTCAGACCAGCCATTGAATGGCTGACAAATGGGCATGATTTGCATTGAATGGAGCTGGATTAGAATCAATCTACTAAAGGTAAAAGTCTATTTTAGTCATTGGCTCTACTAAGATGTGTGTCTATTAGTCTGTCTTTTTCCCCTAGGAGTCAGATGGGGGCCTGTATATTTGTATGAACACATTCCTGGGTTTCGGGAAGCAATATGTAGAAAAGTACTATGGGAAAACAGGCCATCGGGTCTATCTGCACCTCAAGAGAACACGCAAACTGGTAAGAAATGTGGTACTTGGAACTGGGATACACATTGCATTACCAAACCTGTTCTGAGGCTGAGAAGAGAGATCTGTCTCTCTGAAACACAACCTGGTGTTTTCCCCCTGTTACAAGACCCCCAACTAGTCATTGTTTTGGCTGCCTGCCCCATCTTTTTCCACCTGCAGTATCTGCCCCTGTTCCAAAGGTGTTGGGCTTCCCTCAGAGTTCTTGGCCTCCGTACTGACTGTCTCCTTTCTCTCCTGACTCCTAAAACAGAAGGAGGAAGACAGTAGCTCCAGTGCTGGAGACCCACCCAGGAAGAAACCCACACGCTTAGCTATTGGTAAGAAAAAAAACTCCATCTAGCCATGTTTCCCTAATGTATCTAGAGCTGTCTAGCCCAGTTCTATTCACTCTCACCATTCCCCTGTGCTGGATGAGACCCAGTTATCCCATCTAGCCCAATATCCACATATCCAAGAGTGACCAAATAGGATAGCTATTTAAAAACCTGCTGCAGTGGTGAGAGTTGCTTTATGTTTGTAACAACAGTTCTGTTGACAGTTGCAATTTGCATTCTCTCTAAAATCTGCAAACACATGTCAGCTGTGCAAGGTTAGGGGTTGAGGTGGAGTTTGGGGAAACTTTGGTTACTTGATCAAAAGGTTTCTAAGAGGCCCCATAACATTTTGCATGGTTGAAAAAACTAACCCTCTTTAGTGCAAATAGGGAGAAAATTGGCAGGCTCCTGACTGAATTTTTCTGTATAGAAGAATGGTTCTCAACCAGAGATCCAGGGCCACAAATAGGTTTTAGGGGGCTGCAAAGCAGGGCTAGTGCTAGACTTGCTGGGGCCAAAGGCAGAAAGCCAAAGCCCTACTGAATGGGGCTGAAGCCTAGGGCCCTGAGGCTCGGGGCTGAAGCCAAAGCCTGAGCAATATTGTTTTATGGGGGCCCTTGTGGCATTGGGAACCAAACTGCTATCCTACTTACTACCCTAATGCTAGCCCTGGCTTGTAAGTGCAGAAAACCAGTTACTGTGGCACAAGTGGTGTTGGGGGAAGGGCTCAGAGGATGCGTCTACACTGCACCGTAGGTCGAAATAAGATTTGCAATTTGAGCTATGCATATAGCATATCTGATGGTCGAAATAAGATTTGCAATTTGAGCTATACATATAGCGTATCTGATATTGATATTATTTTGAAATAGCACCACATTTTGAAATAAGCTATCTACACAGTAACGTATCATATGTATAGTAGCCAAGTGTCTGAGAGTCTGTAATGCCGAAATGCTGGCTGTTCCCTCTGGGTGGCCCGTGCTGCATGGGGAGTGCAGGGCCCAAACAGCTGCTTGCGCCGCTTGCTCCCCCGCGGCGGCCCGGCTGAGCTGCACAGAAGTCAGCCGAGTGCCACGGTGGGAGGCGAAGGGGGGTGGGGCGGTGACGTGCGGTGTGACAGCGACTCCAGGCCCCGCCCCCTGGCCATGAACGTCACCACCCCCTGCGCCTCCCGCT